AACTTGCTTAAAATCGGATGTCAACAGTGGGGAAAGTGAAACTTGAACCCAGGGACTCTGGCTTCCAGATGACTTCTTTGTCCTCTCCTTCCTCTTTTGGGCAAGACGTGCCTCTAGGGATCGATTTTCTGTGTGAGTTTGTGTTGTTTGTGTTGCACTGCTTATTTATTTTGCCCCCACAGCCGATCGCAGGCCTGGAGCACAGTACAGAAGAGGGCATTATTCTAAGTTTGCATCATCATTCCACTCTCCAGTGGAAGGTTTTCTCGGTGAGAGAGCTGTAACGGGAAGTGCTCACCCAGACCATCTGGTGCTCCTCCTGGGTGCCGCCCTGGGTCAGGCTGGGCCTTGGGACTGGCTCTGCGCAGCGGCCCTGGTGGGGTGAGCTCTGCACTTGCAGATCCGCCAGCTGCACAGAAGGCGTGCTCTGGAGACAGTGAGGGTTTGGGGCCACCACAGCAAAGCGGGTCATGATCTCATGGCTGGTGGGGGGTCTTGCCTTCAATTTGTAAAAAAAAAAAAAAAAAAAAAAAATGCAAGGTCTGTGCAGTGCAGAAAGCAGAGCGCAACCAGATGAGGCCTCCTTTTACTGGGCCATCTCTGGGTAAGTGGGGAAAGTGGCCGGGACCAGGCTGACACATAGTAGGCACTTGGTGGACAGTTGTTGAATTAATTAATTAGAGTTTAGTACTAGTGAGTACCAACATCTTAGGGATGCATGGGAGAAACTCCCCAAATTTTTAAATATTCAAGAAACTTTTCAGCCTTTCCTTCAAGTCTACCTCCTTCCTGTACCCCGGCCCTTCTCTACAAAATATGAGTCATTTTAATTACTATTACCCAAATGTGGACATTTTTAAGCACTGGGCTAACATTTCTCTTAAAACTCTTAACTCACCCTCCCTTGATTTTCAGTTGCTTGTTTACTAGTGAACCCTTAAGGCAGGGATTAGGTCTTTAACTCTCTTTTAACCCCTTCCTGAATCCCCTGTGGCTAGAACTAGCATTTAGCAGGTACCCTGATTGAGAAGATGAAGGGATGATGGTTGGGGATGGGTGGATGGAGGGCTGAATGAAATAATTTACATATTTTTTCACTCCCAAGTCCCTGGGAAATGGGGCAAATTGAGGTTCCCTACGACGACAGAGAGCTCTGGGACACTGAGGTGTGGGTGGGTTGTGCAAGACACAGCCAACTTATTCAACAGGGCCAATAGGTAAAAAGGATAGAGTTCCCCCAAAGTCCAGAAATCCATACGGGTGTATGGATTTCTGGCCCTGGCTAAATGCACATGATATATTCTTATTAATAAAGCCAGACCAGCGTCCTCAAATTATCTAAGGAATATATTTGCCCACCCACAGCGACGGGGGGAAGCCATTACTTATTAATAAAGCAATAGCTAAATCTAATTATATCCCCATCAGAGGCAGCTGGTAATAAAACCGAGCTGGTCTTCCAGAGCTCCGTGACCTCACTGACCTCAAATCAAAGTTTAAACCATCCGTCAGCTTCCAATACATTCCCAGCACACCTACCAATTATGAGCACCCTGGTGCCGCTGTCTGCCAGAGGTTGGAGGTCACCGCGTGCACCAGATAGCTGGGAGCTGGAATGGGGCTTTAGAAATCTCATTATCCTGTTAACCATACATTTATCTGACAAGATAAAAGAGACTAGGTGACCAAGCTATCATTAAAGATTAATAGAAAGTATAAAAAATTCAGCTGCAACCAGCGTTGCTGTTTAGAGCTTGTGATCGGCAAGACAGGGTTATTAATCAGGGAGCCAAAAAGATTTAGGTCTCTGCTCTTGATAGTTTCTATTTCTATTTTTAGTTTTGTTTTTTTCTTCCCTCCGTCTCCAGTCATTACCTTGTCTCCTACCACCCCAAACGGGAGGTCAGAGGAGATCCCTGCTAATTGGCTCTTCTGGTTTCTAATCATAACCCATTAGGCCAATTATGAGATCGCCAGGACTCGGAGGTGACGCAGGAGGCAGCAGGGGGACCCTGGTGGGCTGGGACGGCCATTCAAGCTGCTGCCTGACCTGCCCACCCTTCCTCACATGCGGGACCTGTTAATCACCAGGGAAATCAATAAGTTTTTAATTCAGTTCTGCCCTGCAAGGCACGCCCAAGCTCAAGATGATTTCTGCTCATTTGATTTCATTTCTTAGTCCATTTCTACCCGGGAGTCAGAGAGGAGGCTGTCTAAGGCTGAGGGGTTCTTTTTATTCTTTTTGGTTCCATCTCTTACCACCCACCCACCCCTGCATTCTCAGTCTCCTTTTTGATCATAAATCAATGTCCTTTTCCCACACAACCCTGGAAGGCATTTGCACAGAGAGCTCAGCAGCTTCCCGTCGCCCCCAGGCCAAGGCAGACGGGCAGGGAGCTGATGCAGTGAGGGAGGGAAGTCCTGTGGGAACTGCGGAGTCCTGGAAAGGCTGCTCAGGGCGCGAGTTGACCACAGATGCCCCAAGTTTAGCACAGTATCAGCAGCGAGCACGCAGTGGCTGTCAGGGCCCTCAGAACTCAGGTCTGCAGCCTCTCTGCCACCTGCTGGGTGCTGGGTGACCTCTGAGTAGTCAACCAGCCTCTCTGGGCCTGCTTGCCAGGCTGGGAAAGGGAAACAACCCCTCTTGTCAGGGTGGTCTCAACATCAGAGGGAATCACGGAGTGTGATTTCTTCTATTGTAATCACTTCCTGGCTCACTCCCTTCCTCTGGGTTCCATTAAAGCTAATCTGATAAATCAATTAAGGATAAAATGTCATCATTGACTAGCCTCTGGGTAGTTGCCAGAGTTCAAGGGCAACATTCGATTCCTCTGTGCAACTTTACTGTCCCCTGAACAGCCCCCCCCTCAACCCCCACACACACAGAAAGTAAGTCCTCAGTGGACTGTGTCTGGGCCTCCTCCCCCAGCTCACAGACGCTGCCAGGCCTCGTGAGCATAGCCCGCGAAGGCTCCCAGTTAGGGCTCCACAAAGGGGCCAATGCCTGGCGGGATATAAAGTACAAACCACCTGCTAGGAGAAAAGTCAAGGTCAGAGATAATCAGGTATAGCTGAAGATCCAGCCCAAAAAACCAAGGAAGGTGAAGTGGAAAGAAAAATCAGGAAGGGAAGAGACAGGTTGGGAAAAGGAGTAAAAAGTGGGTCGGAGTGAGGAACTTAAGACTGAGGTTATGCACAGACAGACACGGCCTTTAGAGTTGAGACTCCTGCTCCGCAGCCTGGGCCGACCAGCAGTTCCCAGGATGGTGCTGCTCAGGAGGGCATGGAAATTGCACTGTCAGCTGTGAGCTTGTGTACAAGCAAGGTGTTCATGCTGATCCACTGGAAAGCTGGGCAGGCAAAGTAAGACAGGCAGGGTGGAAGCAGGGACGTCTGCAAGCAGGAGCATGACCCGAGAAAAGAGACTTGTCAGGAGACATCGAGTCACGTTCCACAGAACAGGTCAGAGGGGGAGGAATGGGACTGGGAAATGAAGGAGAGGCCCGAAGCGGCTGTCCCAGGAAGGCCAGTGGTGGACGGTGATGCTAGGCATGCACGTGAAAGGAGGCCGGCCGGTGTATTCACTGTCGCCCAAACGGAGTTCCAGCCGGTCCCCTCAGCCTGCTCTTCAGTTTTTCTGTACCTCCTGTCCCAGCCAAAGCCTGCCCAGTGGCCACGCAGCCCCAGCCCTGGGGCCGGGAAAATGGAAAGGAGTCCTCAGCTTCTTTCCCTCTCCTGACCCCTGCACTGCCCAGCTCTGTCTTGCCCATCTGCAGAAACGTGGCATTTGAGAGTCAAAGCAGCACATGTCCAGTTATTTACCAGATCATTTACTAGATGTATATCTAATAAGTGATGACATTTCAAGTATTTGTCCCCAGAAAATAATTTTCCTTTTAACAACAATGCCCATTGTTTGGAGGTCTCAGATCCGAGAAACAAATCCAGAGAACAACAAAGAACTCATGACAGGAATCGGATGGCCTTACCGGCACACACGGGCACTCCCCTCAAATCCACATTCTCATAAAAACATTTCCTGAAAGATGAAAGATTCTGAGGCTAAGAAAGGTGTGTGGGGTCGGGGACAGAGGAGGAGAGAGAGCGTGTACCCGTGTGGTGTGGAGAAGAATCAGAAAGAAGAAGACTAGTGGTGGGCATTACTCTTCTTTAATCCTCCGTTTAATGTGCCCATTTTACAGCTAAGGAAGCTGATACTCAGAGACGTGAAGAAACTTGGTCAGAATGACCCTGCCCGTGTCGGAGCTGGAACTCACAGCTCAGGGCGAGCTCGGTCTTGCTGGAAGGACTAGAGACGGAGTGCAAAGCTTCCCCCACCCAGGGGCACGCCCCATATTCTCTCAGATCTCCTCGTGTATGTCCCAGTCATGTTCTGAGTGCCTTCTGTCTTGGGCATTGTGGCAGAAACTATATGTGTGTTATCGAATGTAATGCTCACAACACTTCTGCAAGTTAATTATTCCTATTTCAGAGATGAGAAAATTGAGCCAGTACGAGATAGAGCAAGTCTCCCCTAAGGAGCTGTAATTCAAATATGGGTTCATTTGATCCAAAGCCCAAGTATTGAACACTGCATCACGCTTACTTGCTTCAACATGACCTAGTTTGAGCCTTGAGAATTCAGAGTCTAGGTAGATAGGGAAGAAATATGCATATGAGAATCATTCTATATGATAGTCTATATGTAAAGGAAAGCAGCTACCCTACATCACCAAAACTCATATTCTCTCCATCTTCCTACTCCATCATTGTCAGTATGTCCACTGTAGGCTGGCTTCCCTCATGATTACGATAGAGCTGCCACAGCACCAAACATCACATAGAGTTCTAACAATACCCAATGTAAAAAGAGAGATCAGTTAATTCCTTTCTCTCTTTTTTCTTTGCTTTTATTTTTATTTATTTCATATATTCCTACTATATTTGTTTAAACTTTTGTCTGTGCATATGCATGAAGACATCTTGAGGAGATGTTCACCTAATATTAAAAAGGCATGAATGGGTCAATTTGTTTTTGAAATGAACGTACATAATTTTTTAGAAAAAATAAGAAAGGATTCAAAAATCACAACAAAAGAAAGTGATATCTTATAATGTCACTTTCTTAAGATGCCTCAGTGTCTCCCCCACACTGTCTCCTGATGAGATAAAGGACAAAATCCTTAGCAAAGTCTGGAAGGCCCGCTGTGATCTGGTCTCTGTGGTCCTGACACAGGGCACCTGCCCTCCAATGTACCGGGCACGTCTGCGCATCCTCCGCTTGGACTGCTCTCTCTGGCTGGAGGACCTCCCTGTATGACTCCCCCAGAGAAAGCCCTGGGTTTCCTCCAGCCCAAACCAAAGACCACTTGTTCCCTGAAGCTTCCCTGGGAAGCTCAGTCAGAAGGAATTGTTCCCCTGTTCAGGGATTATAGAATTACATTTATTCTTCTACTTCAGGACATGTTTCAAACTTCCTTGCCATGTGCTATGCTGGAGCCAGGTTCTGCTTGTTCTCAGACCTGCTTCTGTGCATCTCTTCCCAAGAGGTCCCATCGGTCCCTTGAAATCAGCCACAGTGGGACTATTTATACCATAGGAATTTGCAAAGGCTACACTTGAGTATATTTCCCCTGGGGAAAGCTGGTGGTTAACCATTTACCAGCACAGCCTCTTTCTGCCTCAATCAACACGTTGAGGTCAATCTGTCTACCTCTCCCAAGCCCCTAGCACAGTGCTTCACTCAGAACAGGAGCTCACTTGCAGATAACCACCTTCTGGAAATACAGTGTGAGTGGAAGGGCAGCCCAGGAATTGCCTGTCCTCCCCGACCTGTGGGCATCAGCCAGCCAGACTGAGTGTGAGAACCGCTGTCGTGCAGGTTCCAGCCGTCTTCCTGGAGAAATCCAGTCCCACCTGTGCGAGAGGAAATGCCAGGGCTTAACAGGAATGAAGGAGATACAAAATAGCCCAGCCCTCCCCATTCCCTAAATCTTACACAAAGGAGAGGCTTAAGTGAGTCAGCAAATGAGCCAAGCACTTCCTACTTGGAAAATGCAAGACGGAGGTTAAACCAGCCCAAGTGCTCAACAGTGGGTTTACTGGCGGGGTCAGAGGGGTCCGTCCAGTTTCCTAAAGTGCTGTCTGTACTTCTCAAGAGAGATTGCAGAGGACAGAGAGGAGAGCAAAAGGCAGGCCTGGGCGGTGCTCCCCAGAGACACCAAGTCCCCAGTTTGCAGCTGTGACCTGCAGCACACCCAGGGCTGTGTGGGACACCGAGCAGGTGGGCTCCTCGGAGGATGGCCAGACTCAGCCGTGAGACCAAGCTGTTCACTGCACAGATTCTAGTCACTCAGACTCATGCCTCCATGCGCCCCAGAAGCCCAGATGAGAGGAGGTCCGGAACACTATCCTTCCTGCCGGGGGGCCTGGGTCTCTGTCATGCATGTACCAGGTCTGCAGTTGTTCTGAATAGAGTTTGCCAAAGAAATGAATCTGAGCTTTGGTCCTCTGTGCCGTGTGACTCTGGGCCTCAGTTTCCCCACACAAACAATGAGGTGCCTCGACTTCACAAACTCAGTGATAGCCCCCTCACCCCATCAGCTTTTGTCACCTTATGTTTCTAGGTATGTTTGGCCCGTGTCCCCAGCCAAGCGCTCAGGGAAGACTGAGGGCTGCAGGGCTGGGCTTTAACACGCCTTAGCAGAGACCCAGGCCCCGGCTTGGGGGCCCTCCTCCTTGGCTCGGCCTCCTGCAAACCAGGCTCCCTTCCCACTGTCCTGACTGCCTGGGGCGGACGCTGTCTGGAGCCCGCCCAGCATCTGCCTGCGGGAGCTGGCGAGTGACGACAGGAGATGAGGACGCTCAGCTCAGGTCCTGTGCCCCCATCTGTGGGTGGCTTCCCTGAGTGGGAGGCTGTCAGAGACACGTCAGCACTTTCCTGGCTGCGGTTCTGGGCAGGCAAGGCAGGGAGAGCACCTGGGGAGCCCTGAGCCCTGCAGACCCAGCCCGCCGCAGGTGGGGACCGGTGCACGAGAGGGGTCTGAGTTGCCCTGCACCCCACCCGCAGCCACCAGGGGTCTGGGGATAAGGGGGCAGGAAGGGTGTACCTGCACTTTCTGCCAACTAGACACTAATTTGCCTCATTTCTTCCTTTTCACAGCTCCGAGGAGCAGAGACCATCACCCCAGGTCCCAGACAGAGTCAGTGAGATGGTGCCCCGGGCCCAGTGTCACCCTGGCTCCAGGGCACCTTGGGGAATGACATTCAGAGGTGCAGAGAACCACACTCAGCTGCAGCCTGGAAGAGTGTGCCCCCAGGACACATGCTCACCACTCTGGCTTCCACATGTGAGTGGCGGGTCTGCCCCTTCCATCCCAACTGGGGATACACTGGAGCCCCATGGTCCCGGGCTGGCCAGCGTCCAGAGCATCTTCTAGGGAGGTGTCCACTGGGGACAGCTGAGCAGTTTAGACCAGGAAGCCTTAGGTGGGCGGGGGCGTGTTCCCATTCATGTGACATCTGGGGTAGGTGGGGGATGGGCAGTAGGATGTAACCACCCCCAGGGGAAGCCAGTGTGAGTCCCAGATTAGGGCCTACCTTCCCTGGGACCACAGGCCCACTAGGCACCCAGCCCAGTAGATGGGCTGGGGGTCTTGGACTCGGTGCCCTCTGCCCTTTCTGGATGCCCACCCCACCCCACCCAGCCCTGCTCGTCTGTGTCCAGGCCTCCCACTCACCACTTCAACTCTGCACAGGGAAAGGCCCCCAGCCTCCTTCTGCCCCCAGTAAGTTTCAAAAGCCCATAAGATGTAGCTTTAAAGGCCCATTAGACCAGAGCCCCAGTGTTAGCAAAGTAAAAACAAGCTGTTCCTTCCTTGGAAACCAGCACCCACCCACACCTCCCGTGGCCCTTCCCCAGGAGGGCTTCTCTAGAAGGCAGAGGGACAGTGCCACAGATGAACCAGCACGAGTCTGTGTTCCTGTCCCTCAAAGGAGGAATAAGAGCTCCAAGAGGGTGGCTAACTCACCCAAAGGCACCGGTGTAAAGGCGGGAGTCTGAGCCACGTCAGCCGGCAGAGTTTGTGTTTGCAGGTCCTTCCCCTGCTGTCACTGTCTAGACCAGACCCCAGCCTCCTGGGCCACCCCTGTGGGACAGCTCTCCTCCCAGACCTGGAGGCCCCAGCCCTCTGTGCCTGCCCTGCCTCCGGCATGACCCAGGGACCCCGCCCAGGGCTGATCCAGGGACAGCCTCCTGTCACATCTCTTGTCTTTCTTTGTCCCCCACCCTCCACCTGTCTTGCTCTTCACCATTTACTAGGGTCTATGACGAGCCAGAGAGTCTGCTCGGCACTGAGGTGAGTAAGCAGGACAAGTGAGAGCTCCAGCTCTTGGGGTAGACATTCTTCTTGGGGGAGGCAAGTCAAGGACAAGTGAGATCACCTGTGCTGGTGCTACGTGTGCTGGGAAGGCGCTGAAGCCAGGTGAGCCCATCCAGCTGTCCCTGGTGGTCCTGTACCAGGCCTTGCTTCGCTGGTCCCCTCACTTGACCTTAAAGAACAATAATGGTAGGAACAGAGGCCCGAAAAGACCAGGCAAGGCCCTCTTGAGTGTGACAGTGTCCTAGACTTCCACGCTCGCATGGAAGGCAGAAATGATCCCGTTATAGATGACAAACAGGCTCTGAGAGGCAGCTCAGAGACACAGGTGCGGGTGTGGAGAGCCAGCTCTCCTGCCCACCTGCCTGCCTGGTGCCATTCCCCAGTGACACCGTCTCCCAGGCCAGACAGGACACTGTGCCCCCCGCTCCCCACACCACTGCAGCCCGCACTCCCCTAACCTGCCACAGCTGCCTCCGCACCTCCCGCCCCACCCTGCTCCTGCACCGCACCCGGAGTGCCAGCGTGGCACCAACGAGGTGCTCCAGAGCCGCTCCCGCATTCGGGGCTCAGGAGCTGTCCCCGTCCACGGTGGTGGCCGTGGAGTTCAACTAACCCAAATGCCTCCCCGGACTCACGCAGTTGCCCCCTCCCTGTTCACACGGATGCATTCAGCACCGACTGCGTGCCGTCCGCCCTGCGAGGTGCTGGGCGCGCAGTGGAGAGCGGGACGGATGAGACGCCCGCCGTCCTGAAGTGTGCCAGCTGCTGGCGGAGGGCACGGGCAGCAGTGAAACAACCACGGGACAGACCCAGAAGCGCGGGCCGTGATCGGCACTGCGGAAGACTGGGAAGGGGTGACGCGGAAGCTTTTGATAAAGGGGACAGAGCTGACTTGCTCTGGAGGGCCCCTGAGGAAGGAACAGTGATCCGGCATCAAACGGGCAGACCGTGTGGGGAGGGGGCGGGGCGGAGGGGCCACAACTGAAGGAAGGCCCGTGGGGAGGTACACGGTGGATTCTAGGACCTGGAGGAAGACCAGTGCGGCCAGTGTGACATTGAAGCAGAGAGAAACGGGAGCCCCGGGGCCAGGGTTGTGGCAGGGGCCACGCCGTGTGGTGAGCTGTAAGACATGGAGCCCTCAGAGCTTTCAAATGCATCTTCATGGGGAGCGGGTGCTTGAGTTTGAAAAGGCTGCCCTGGCAGGCAGGTGGGAGAAGGGCTCAGTGGGGGCAGAGATGGCAGCAGGGACCTTTGGGGGGCTGTTGCCATCATCCGCAGGGGAGATGGTGCCGCTCTAGAGGATGTGGGAGCAGGAAGAGGAAGAGGAGCGCGTCTCCCAGAGACACGAGATCGACAAGGATGCGGTTGTGTCGCAGGTGTGAACGAGGGAGAGGGGAGTCAGGACGGCTCCGGGTCCCACTCTGTGGGGGAACGTGGGTGGGCAAGGTCTGATCTTGGAGTCTGAGGCCCAGATTGATAAAATGTGCCCGAGACCTCACGGAACCAGGCTTGATGCTGGACTCCGGGTCTGTTTTTCAACATGCAGCTCAAGCTGAGCCGCACTAGTCCTGGGGGTACCGTATTCTCATCCCCTCTAGGCTGCGAGATCCTGGACAAAACCTGGGTCATCCCGGTGTGCCCCACCCACACCCATGGCATCTCACAGAGTCCCTGCTACACAGGGCTTAGGATGGCTAGCCAGGGAGGGATGCAGAGGACACTTTTGAAGTCTAATCTGGCTCTAGGAAGTCACATCTACTGGGAACCCCTATTCCATCTCTGCTTCAAATACTGTTACTAACGATAAAGTGATAGCGGCTATGCAAAAGCTAGTAGCAAGCGATAAGGGGATGGGAACTATCTTCGTCACAAAGCATGATGGCCTTGAGGTGTGGACAGAAGGAAGGGCGACTGGGCAGGGGCCCAGCCCGGGCAAAGGCCGGAGGGGCTCCTCTCAGGCGGAGGGAGATGGTGGACGGAGCAGCCCGGTGCTTTCTCCTGTTGTCTGCCTGCTCCGTCTTCACAGCACGCCCGTTAAGGTCAAGATGATTTTCTCGGGGGTTTTTTGGATGAGGAAAGGGAGGTGGGCCAAGGAACAGAAGTGGGCCAAGGTGTCCACACTCCTCAGTTGCTCCGAGCCAGCCCGGCTCTTCTCTCCCACAGGGAGGTGAGAACGGGCTCCCTGGGGAAGAGTTAGAAGTGGCTTTTGGATGATGACAGTCTCCTGGGAACCAGTTAAGGGGAGAAACTCTTAGTGGCCAGGACCTCTGTAGGTCTTCGAGTTTAATAATCCAGAGCAATCCTGAGAAAGAAATTAATGGGCCTTTCTCGAGATGGGCCAAGGAAATCAATGTACTCTTTTCCATTTCAAAAGCCAGTGTCTCGCAGAGGCAGCGGGCAAAGGGCTGAGGCGGGGCGGCCTGGCCAGCCGGCCGTGCCCCGATAGTCTCTGTCCCCTGGCCACCCTGGAGAAGCGGACATCTCCGGGGTGACTTGGGAAGAACCTTAATTGCTTCTCCGAACTTGAAAGATATCAAACTGCATAAATAAATGTGCTTTAAATTATTAATGAAGGCATTTACACCTAGAGTTGGAGCATGAAAATTAATTTGAGTTCTTACGCTAACCTGGCTGGGGCAGCACAGGATCCGAGGGTGCGGAGACAGAGGCAGGGGAGAAGACGGCGGTGGGAGGCGCGCTGTCCAGGGCGTTTCCCATCTCAGATTCAGAGCGCGGTGAGAGAGAAGGAATGGGAGGACGTGAGAGGCGGGAGGGAGTTCCCCCGCAGACCGATGGACCCACCTGATCACTGAGATCAGGCAAGAACGGGAGGTCCGCCGAGACCTGGGGCTGCCTCTGGGCTTCTGTGAAAGGTGAATCACTTGCTTCTCAAGGACAGGAATAATGACTCCCAAGGCTGGGGTGGACCCACCTGATGGGCTCACGAAGCAGGCTGGGGAGCACCAGCCAAGGCCTGTGCGGCCGAGGGAAGGACACAGAGGACCGCACCACCTGCCCGCAGCCCGCCCCGACGGTCAGACCTTCTGCTCCCCTTGGCTTCCAGGAGCAAGGTGGTTCCTAAAAACCCAGCATCTGCAACACACCGCGGCTACTCACTGGATGACATCCTGCGTCCAGCTTTTCCTCTCGAGCCTCAGCGTCTCCATCTGTAACCCAGGGCAACACTATCCATCTCCCAGTGCCTCTGCAGGACGTAGCAAAGTGGTGGGGGACTGCCGAGCCTGAGTCCGGACACTGGACGGACAGACGACACCCCCCACCCATGGTCTCTGGGATCCTTGATATCCACTGACCTGCCAGACACTTTTGGTGTATAAAAGGGGGAGAGAAGGTACCGGGGTGGGGGCTTGGGGTGGGGAGAGAGCAGAGGAAGAGAGAGGACCTGGGTCCTCTTCTCACCCGGCTCCTGAGACTGGGTTGAGCTCTGACATCGAGAAACTTCAAAGTTCAGAAGTTCAAAGCTTCAAAGCTTTTGTGGGACTGTGGACAGAAGCGGAGCTGCCATGGGGCCTGCGGGCAGCCTGTGGCGCGCGGCGGAGAGAGGCACGCCCTCCCCTCCTCTGCCCGGAATGTTCTGTGTCCCAGCGTCCTCACCCTGGCAGAAGAAGGCGGCCCCCTGGCACCACAGAGGTCATGCTGTGGACACAGGCTCGGAAGAGAGTGGGAGAGGAAGGGCAGGTGGACGCCATGAGGGATCGCAGCTTAGGTCCCCAAATACCCAGGGAACACTCATTTCCACCAGTGGTGGGGGTGGGTACAATAAAACAAATAGGCCACAGTTTCTAGTCACAGGCTTGGGGCCTGGGGTCTCTGAAATGTCCATCATGAGGGCAGGCACACAGCGAGGGTCAACACACATCACTCCCCTGCCCCCCAACTCTTCTGCGTATGTGGGGCGTTGGTCCTTTCTCTGATCTGCTTTCCCCGAGTGTCAGGAGTTTGGGTTCTGCATTTTAAATCCCGAAGTGAACACTGACTTGTCCCAACACATGCAGCAACACATTAAAACACCGGCTAGCACTTAACTCTGCATATTACTTTTCATAATTTCATAAATGTTTTCACTTCTTCTAATCCACTCGAGTCTCATAACCATCTTGCAAAGAAATAGCCCTGCTTCACAATAAAGGGAACTGAGGCCCGAGGAAAGTGGCTCCTCCAAGGTCGCACAGCGTGTACATCGATGGCTGGAGCGTCAGGCTGACCGGGACGGCGTCCCAGGCCGACCCCTCAGCAGCAGCCACCGCCGGGCATGGTCGGGCCCCGTGCGCCTGTGCAGTGCTCGGAGCTCTGCACGCACCTGGTGCACGTTCACAGAAGCGCGGTCACGGAGGCGCTCTTGCTCTGGTTACTCCTGTTGTGTGGAGAGAACACTGCACTCAGGGAGACTAAGTTCCCTTTCTTCTAATCTAATGAGCAAAGAGTCAGGATTCCAGCAGCTCAGGCTAGAGGCCACGCTTCTATCTGCAAACCCCACTGCCTCTCCCCTTGGCAAATTCAGCTTCCCCATTAGTCCCACAGACCTGCTAACAGAACTCACAGAGCTGTGTGAGCACCAAAGGCAGAGACTGGGCAGAGCACATGATACAGAGTGGGCTTTCAAAGGACACGTGTTGCCTTTCCTGAGCCACGCAGCTTCCCAGACCCAGACTGGGCCCAGAGGACGGAAATGGAAATAGAGGCCAGAGATGGCACCTGAGCAGAGACCCACTGCTCCTGTACCGGGCAGGCATGGCTTCCCAGTCTGGTGCACACCCCGACACCTGGGCGTGGGCCTTAGCCCCGCCCTGCACCTCCCTGCCTACCAGGGGGTCAAAACACACACACACACTCACCAACACACGCACATGGTTACAACCCCACACAGACACACTCATATTCCACACACACTCATGCACCTCATTCCCTGCTTTCCTAGGCTGAAGGTACCTTCTGGAAGCCAGAGGAAACTCGGTGGGAAGAATAGGCCATTCCAGCAGGCAGACGGCCCTGTCTCCCACAGCCCTTCACCTCTCTCCTCTCCACTCAGCCTCTTCCAGAGCCCCTCAGGCCTGCTCTGACTCCGTCCCCCTCGCTGGACCAGCCTCAATGGCTCTCACTTAGTTCACCCCTCACCCCCCACACCCCCTCCACAGCTACCACCCCCATTCCTCCCACACCCCACATCTCCAAACCCCGCACACCCCACCTCCCATCCCCTGAACCCCGCCTCTGGGGCCTTGCAGTGCTTCACCTCAGTTTCTAAAATTTAGAATAAGAAAAAGAAAGAGAGAAGGGGAAGTGTGGGGAGCCCGGCTCAGGAAGGGGGAGCAGAGGGGGAGGGGCCCTGGCTGGGTGCAGAGCAGAAGTCTCTGAGGCGCTGTGGTTGCCTTGTGGTTCCGGCGCAGAGGTTCACGCAGGCGGTTGTGGCGAGTATAACCGGCAAGACAATTCGCAGAATTTCTGAAGGTTTTGTAATCAAAGGTGACAGCCCAAAGCCTGAGATAACGAGATGCTGGGGCTCCGTGCCCAGAAGCTGGGCCTGGGGTACAGCTGTGACAGTAGAGGGCAGGCCAGCAATGGGGGCGGCTCCTCCTCTGGCAGGGGACACAGAGGCATCTGCTCTCAGTAGCGACAATGGATGCACTTGGAAGAACTCACTGGTTCAAGGCCAGGGCGATGAGGACAGGGTTGACGGACAG